GATGGCACAGGACAGGGCAAGGTTGATAGCAACTAGGAGACGTAGCTGAATGTGTGGCACTGAACAACAAAAACATTCTTCCCATTATCTCTTGAATTTTGTTTCCATTTATCACTCCATCTTCTCCCTTCTTACTCTCTGAGTTTCATCTTTGGACAAATACTGCCCTCATGATCCTGTGTGACGGAATGATAGATAGATCTCTCTAGTATTTGGCGACAAATGTCAGAGGGATGAGTCCAGCCTCACAGGGTGGCCAAGCACCATAGCCTCGGGGGTCCTCCTGTCTCCATCAATCCAGTAAACTTGGACATTATGGAAATTTTTTATTGTCTTCTACATTGGTCTCCTGCTCTATCTAGGAATTTCTGTTACATCTCCAATTGGGGTGATTAGCAGTGCTGACAAGGTGCCATAAATTGATTCCTTCCATGTATCTTTGAGTTTCTTCACTCTTTTTGCTCTAGACACAGACAGACCAGTGTCTGTAGCTTAGATGGCCTTGTAAGCTTTAAAGTCTCCAATCGCTTCTCACCGATCTAGACTGTATAATACTGTCCCTGTGGACTGTGTTATGCCAGCCTATTTTGGTGCCCCTCAAACTACGTCCCGAGGCCTCCTGACCAGTGCCTGCTTCCTCCCATGGGGTATTGATTCTGGATAAGAGGTTTATGTGTTATCATGTCCTGTTGACTATATTAGGGAGGTCTCTAACCCCTAGAGGACTGTGCTGCGAATCAGAGGCTTCATGTCTCTGTCTTTTTTGCTACTTTGACAGTGGAGTGTAGACTGGAACCAATATGTGGTATTTGAATCACTGACTGTGCACTACATAATAGTTGTGTGATTTTGTATGATTTGCTGTACTTCTCTGTGCCTCATTTTATTCTACATAAATTAGAGATATTGATGATAATCATGGTAATTAGTGCATGAAGTTGTCGTGAAGACTCACTGAGACGTTACATGTTAAGTGCTTAGAACAGGGCCTGACCATAATGAACATTTTATAAGTATTACCAAGCCCACCAGACCTCTGCCAGCAAGCCAGTTAGTTTCTGGGGCTCTGAAACTTTGAGATGGGAAGAAACTGCCTCATTTTTCTTCCATAGATTGGCTGGTGACATTGAACTGTTGCCCTTTCGTTTAGTATTACTTAGTTACATTTATACATGCATTGTTCTAATTGTTACAGCACTTGTCTGTCAGTTGCTGTAATGAGATAACTTACGGGTTACTGTGATACTGAAAGCTATGCCACTGGTGTGTCAAATGCCACAAAGGTTACCCATGATGGATAGGTTTTAGTAGAGCTTCCAGATTAAGACAGACTAGGAAGTAGGATTTGCCATCCATTTCTTAAAAAATAGACCTGTGAAAACCAGAGGAACAATAGAGGAATGTGGAGAGTTACAGGGTTCATATCTGTTGTTCATCGGATTGCTGTGGGTCATACTCAACTCCAAGGCACCTAACAATAACAGTTAAATTTACAGGATCTTAGAAACCAAGGAATCAGACAGAAATAAAAGATGTAACTGCAGTAATCCAGGCAAGTGATGGTGGCTTGGTTATTATAATTTTCAAAATTTGCTTTATTGAAGTTAAAGCTTTTGTACTCAGAAACAATAAAATTCAGTAATTTGCTTCAAACAAAGGAGAGGGACCAGGCTCTTATCAGAAGGGCTGTTGTCTTTGCCACTGCTCGGTGCTGGTCAGTCAGTCCTGAGTCATAGTGATGCTGAGAATTGAGAGAAGAGAGTGCTGCCTGCTCCTGCTTCCTCCTCACGATTGTTTCTGTATTTTAACTCACTGTTGCAGCCTCAGTGCAGCATGGATTGTTGAGTCAATCCTTCTCATTGATTTTCCTCTGCAGTGCTGGCTTCTGTCTTTACCAAGCATGTTCGTAGTATGCCCGATGTATATGGGGCGATCCCTCACCATTTTCAGTTATAAGCAGCATTCTAAGGCTGCACTTCCTCCAAGATAGAGTTGTTTGCTCTTTGACAGTTGATGATATATTCAGTTTACTTCACCAACACCACAATTCAAAGGCATCAGTTCTTCTTTGATCCTCCTTATTCATCATTCACTTTCACAGGCATAGGTTTGAGCCATCAATTTTGATTAGTAGCCAAGGGCTTAAGCTGCTTAACCATTGTGCCACCAGGGGTCCCTGTGAGAAAGGAAGAGCACTGAAACAGAAAAAAAAAATAAATAAAACACTCCCTGAAAATCACCTACAATCCATCCCCAGAGTTAATACTAAGGACAGAAATTGGGTAATTATCCTTGTAATTTACAGACCTAATTTACTTTGGTCCAAATTGCCTAGATGATTAGGGGAAAGAAATAACTTTTAATTGAATGATGTAGACTGAGGGTCTATAATCTTTCCGATGAGGGGGTTCCTTGCTGGTTAGTCGTCAGGAACAGGAAAGGCTGGGAGGGTTTGGAGGTCTCAGTGCACCACAGGAGAGAGTGATGGGAGGTGATTCTGAGAAGCGAGTCCCCACTGAACAGATTTCTCCTTCGGCTGCAGAGCTGTAGCTTTCTGATGCTCTGTCTAGATCATTCTGCCAGTGTTGATAACAGTGGGTAAGCCCTAAAGGGGCAAGACCACTTGGTTATCAAATGAATGGTCCCAACTGACCGATGATGGTTTAAAAAAACACCAGCCAGTCAAGCAACAACCAAACTATTGTCGAATCAATTCTCCAAGCAGCTCTGTGGAGTAGAGTAGAACGTCCCCATAGGCAGTAATCTCTGTGGAAGCCAACCACCACTTATTTCTCCTGTGGAACAGTGAGGACAAGGTTCAAACCTCTGACCTTTCCGTTAGTGGCTCATCCTTCAACCACAGCACCACCAGAGCTTCTTTCCAGTGCTATCAAACCTACTGCTGTTGAGCTGACTGTGACTCAAGTGACCCTCCATTAGGCTTCTGAGGTTGTGAATCTTTTACAAAGGAGACGGCCCATTTTTCACCCAAGGAGCGCCTAGTGTATTCAAACCACCAACCTTGTGGTTCTGACATGTAATGTACTACACCACTGGGAAGCTGCTAATTACTGACCGCCTCCCAAGGGGTCAGTGCTGTGCACTAAACACTTAACCATAATGACGAATCTAGTTTTTGCAGCAACTGCATGAAATAAAATCTGTGATCATCATTTGTCATCTCTTTCATAGATGGAACATAGAGTTGAGAGATAAATAGCCCAGAGCCAGAGAGATTATAAGACATAGGACTGGGTTTCGAACCAGGTCCTGGGCCTTGAATCTTAAGTTTAATATGACTCTTTTCAGCCTAGTTTTGCTTTCCATAGCAGAAGAAGACATCGTCCATCTTCATGGCGGTTGGTATGTTCGAGCCCATTCTTGTGATAATGGTATTGAACCATCTCTTGGAGTGTTGCCCTTGTTTTTGTGAGCCTGACATCATGCTTGGAAAGGTGGGAGGATGGCAGAGGAGGAGGAAGACCCTCATCCAGGTGGGTTGATGCAGTGGCTGCAGAGGTGGGCTGAAGTGTGTCAGAGATGGTGAGGCTGGTTCAGGAAAGGACGTGGTTCAGATCTGTTGTTCATAGACTCGGTATGAGATGTACTTGACGGCACCTCACGGCAACAACTTTCTCAAGCATGATGTCCTTTGCTGGTGCTCAATCCTTGCTGTTGATGCACCCATGGTAAAGGAATCAAAGTCTTGGACAATAAGCCATGATTTAGAGAGTTTGCATTAGAACCCTGGTGACATCGTGTGCACCTGATGTCAGGCTGTCAATGTAAAGGTTGGCTGCTTGAATCCACCAGTTGCTCCGTGGGAGAAGATGAGTAGTCGTCTTCTGTTCAGAAGGCCAGTGGAGGTCATTCTAATGGGAATCACAGTGAGTCATTTCCAGAATACATCTCCAGGTCTTTTTCCATAGTCTGTCTTAGCCTAGAAGCTTGGCTGAAGCCTGTCCACCTGGGGTGACCCTGCTGGAATTGAAATCCATAGTCTAGCTTCCAACATCACAGTAACCTGCAAGTCACCACAGTATAACAGACCAACAGAGAGGTGGTGGAATGCACGTCTTAACAAACCACACCTGCAAAGGCCTTGTTGCCAGATAAGAGCCCCTTCTAGGTTTCTAGCTGGACATAAATTTGCATGGCTATTCACTCTTCAGAGGGGCCTTAGGGACACAGTGCATTAGGTATTGCTGCTAGTTGAAAGGTTGGTGGTTCCGATGCACCAGCTACTCTTCTGGCGAAAGATGAGGTAGTTTCCTCCCATAAAGATTTCTATCCTTGGAAACCCATTTGAGGGTCATTAAGAGTTGGAATTGACTTGAAGGCATTGTTGTTGCTGTTGTTATTGTTAGGTACTGTTGAGTCAGAACCAACTCATAGCTGACCCTCCAGTGGGTTTTCAGAGGCTGTAAATTGCACGGGAGGAGATGGCTCATTTTTTTCCCCTGGTGGACACAAATCACATGCTTTTGGATTGACAACACAACTCTTTACCACTAGGCCAACAGAGTTCCTTTGAAGGCTGGTTTTTTTTCTTTTTAACTTTTTTTTTTTTAGTACTAGTTTATTTACAAAATTCAAATACATTGATTTCAAGAACATATTCTTCCAATTTTCCTCATCCCCCACCTATCAAATTGTATAACCCCATAATTAATCCCCCCTTACCCCGTGTATGTCCTCATCCCTCTGTTCCCCTCCTCCACCACCCCCTTGGATCCTTATACTCATTCTACAATAATGGTTTTATACAATATTTGTCCTTGTGGGACCGAGTTAGTTCACTCAGCATAATGCTCTCCAGTCCCTCCCATATTAGGTAATAATTTACAAAATCGTTGCTCCTATGTGCTGCGTAGTATTCCAGTTTGTGAAGGTACCATAATTTCTCTATTTTTTTATTCACTTATCAACTCCAGACCATGAACTTGACCTATCTCTTTATGTGTGGCTGCACTAACCCCTCCCTCTCTTTTGGAGGACAGGTCAGTCCATTGTGGGCTGCAAGGCCATCCTCATCGACGACCAGGTCTTCGTGGTGGTGGCTCAGCTCTTCGGTGGCTCGCACATTTACAAGTATGACGAGAGCTGGACCAAGTTTGTCAAATTCCAAGACATAGAAGTGTCTCGCATCTCCAAGCCCAACGACATCGAGCTATTCCAGATTGATGAGGAGAAGTTCTTCGTCATTGCAGATAGCTCCAAAGCTGGCCTGTCGACGGTGTACAAATGGAACAGCAAAGGCTTCTACTCCTACCAGTCTCTGCACGAGTGGTTCAGGGACACGGACGCGGAGTTCGTGGATATCGACGGGAAATCGCACCTGATCCTGTCCAGCCGCTCCCAGGTCCCCATCATCCTCCAGTGGAATAAAAGCTCCAAGAAGTTTGTCCCCCACGGTGACATCCCCAACATGGAAGACGTGCTGGCCGTGAAGAGCTTCAGGATGCAGAATAATCTCTACCTGTCCCTCACCCGCTTCATCGGGGACTCCAGGGTCATGAGATGGAACAGCAAGCAGTTTGTGGAGATCCAGGCACTGCCCTCTCGGGGGGCAATGACCCTGCAGCCCTTTTCCTTTAAAGAGAATCACTACCTGGCGCTGGGGAGTGACTACACCTTCTCCCAGATCTACCAGTGGGATAAAGAGAAGCAGCAGTTCGTCAAGTTCAAGGAGATCTACGTGCAGGCCCCTCGCTCCTTCACAGCTGTCTCCACCGACAGGAGAGATTTCTTCTTTGCCTCCAGTTTCAAAGGGAAGACAAAGATTTTTGAACATATCATTGTGGACTTGAGTTTGTGAAGGTGGGATTGGTGAATTGCAGAGACAAGTAACAGTAGCGCGTGCGTGTGTGTGTGCATGTGTGTGTGTGAGAGAGAGAGAAAGAGAGAGAACGTTCGAGAGAGAGCAGGTATGTTCCGAACTCCGGAGGTCAGGGTGTGCTGGGGAAGTCGTTAGCTGTCTTCAAACTTTTAGAACTCGCCTTTTAATCAGGGATTGCATTTACTGGCTAACTGCATGACATGTCCATTCCATTTAAAGTGGCATCTTGAAAGCCTGTCATGTTTGAGACGGAGGACAATGTTCCCTTTGCCATCTGGGAAGAGAATGTGGTTTATTTATGGAGTTTTGCCCCTCTCTGTGTTTAATGATGAAGGGAGACACAGACTGAGAACGGACAGCTCTTTGTAATGTAATAAAAGCAAAACAACTCCCACTGCCCCAGGATGGGCCCATCTCCTCCCAGGTTAGCAGTGTTTGTGGGAAGAACGCTGAAGGCCAAAGTCAGCTGGAAAGAGTAGCTGAGGATGAGTTTAAAATCTTCCAACACTCAGCAGTGTTGTTGTTTCCAGTGTCCTGGAAAGAAAGCCCAGCCTTCTCAAATTCTCCTTGATGGTTACGTGTCCACCGTTGCTATGACTCCCGAGAGTCATAAATCTTATGGACAGGGTCATAAAGTAGTTGGTGGCCAGAGCAATGGTGTTTGCTTAGCAGCCTCTGGGCAGCCTCTTCTTCTCTGACCCTGTCCTTGATGTCTGTGGAATCCCTGGTAGCCAGGCCAAAGACTGAACGGTGCTGTTACCGATTTCCATTTCTTCCTTTAAAGAGGTGCAACAAGTCATTCCTTCTGCCAAGCGTCGGGTTGACTTTTTTGAAGACGTAGAGTTCTGGATGTGCTTAGCACAGGCTTGATTTGCTTTGACATGTAGAGGCGGCCCTTTGATTTATGCATGACTTCGCTCTCTGGATGGCTTAATATTTCAAGTCATTGAATACCAACCCACCTCTGTGAAGTATAAAATCCCTGCGTGGGCACCACACCAGCCACACTACCTGCCTACTGGTCTCCCTGCCTGGCTGTCAGTTAATGTTTCTGGCAAGGCTGTCCCGGTGAATGTCCTGTAGGTACCAGATGGGCAGAACCTGGGATCCTCACTACGGTGCCCCTTCCTCTCCCAGTCCTTTAATGGAGGCAAATTCCTGCCCATTCACTCTCAGCGGGGTCGCATGCTGATATTGGAGTCACCCCATGTAGGTTGGGGGGCCCTGGTTAGGTAAGATGGGACTACTCTTGGAGGCAGACAAGATGATACCCTTAGATCACGTCTACACCCCAAAGACCAAAGTGGCCTCTTTCAAAGTGGACATCACCTGATGCAGACGATTGGGGTCCTGCTTTGTGCCTGGTTCTTGGGGGTTCTCAGTCTGACTGACTGGTTTGCTGCAGACTATTAAGAGAATATTTTGGGAGTAGCCTTCAAATAAGGGCTGTGGTGTAGCGAGTTACAAATCAGGCTGCTTAGCTGTAAGGTATGAGTTCGAATCCACCTGGGGCTGTGTGGGAGAATGATGGGCTGTCTCCGCCCATTGAGATTTACTGCCTCTGTAACTTGGTCTGTAAGTCAGAATCAGTTCTAGAGCAGTGGCCCAGTCCTTAAAGAGGAGCCCAGCCAGTCTCTGGCAGCCCAGTCCTTTTGTGCTGGGTTATTTTTACCAGCGTGGTTTGCTACGTCATGAGAAGGTAGGGGTTTTGCCACCGATAGGATGCATTTGCTTCATGGTGAGAAGCCTAGCTGACGCAGGCACTAAACAGCATGAGGGTGCACTGTTACGTCAGCACTTTGGGGTGCATCCTGTGGGCCCACCTCTCCCAGCTCAGGACACCAGGGATGTTCATGGAGAGACCCGCACCTAGGACCGTTACTGTTCAAGGCTTAACGTTCAGTTCAGGGAAGCGCCGTGGGGACAGAAGGAAACTGATTTGTTTTCACACTTTGACCAGAAACCACTCCTGTTTCTGCCTCTTTGGTTTGCTTGAATGGGCTCCAGATGCCCGCATCCCCACACAGGAGCTGAAAATAGGGAAGCTTCTGCGATTCCTCCTTCTGTGGGGACCGGCAAGCTTTTCTTCCTGGTGCACAGAACCCCACCAATGAACCTGGGCAGGAAGTCTGGCCCTTGGCAGACAGTACTGGGGGCATTTAACACATTGCAACCCCAGGGTCTGTCAGGTCACAGCATTGTTCCCGATTCCAGACAAAACTGGGCCTCTTCTCACAGTTCTGCCTTCCACAGAGCAGGCCCCAGTGTCCCAGACTCACCTTAGAGAGTGAAGTGAGTGTCCACACTCCCTCTCTCAACCACAGTTGAATCTGCAAACCCAGACAGTGCAGGGTTCTGGACTTGGGGAGTTTTGTTGAGTCCAGTAGGAATGAGAAAGATCTAGAGCCTGGGATCGTGAAGAGGGTGGGGGAGCTGCAGGCCATCCATTCAATTGCAATCCAAGTTTTATTTTTCTGAAAAGAAAAAAAGTTACCCAAGATCAAGATTTGCATCCTCCAGAGTCGCTGTGCTGGGGGAGGATTTGTCCTGGCCAACTTCCTGAAGGCGCAGAGATGTTCTTGGCACGAGGCGGCGGAAGCTGAGCTCCATTAATCTTACAGCTCCATTTGAGGACTCCCTGCTTTCCAGCCATTTTCTGGAAGAGGCTTGCTTTCAGGGAACACGTTGAACCAACCTCAGCAGCCGCATGGAAACCAAAGAGCAATATTTAGCAGGCTCCCTTGTGGGGGCCAGCTTGGCCTCGGGCGCTCTTGCTGCTTCATTCCTTCCCATTGCCCTTTTGGGGCTCATTTTTTCCTCTGTGTTTCTCTGCTTTGTAATTCTTGTGGCAAGATGCCCAGATCAAAGTGTCCCCCCATCCCTCATATAGCCATGTGGCAAAGCCACACGGCCTTAAAGTGAGGACTTGACTCCAGATCCCATGGGGTTGGGAATGGTATTACCAGATGCCATCAAGTCAACTACACATCGTAGTGACCCTGTGAACCACAGATCTGAACCTGGCCCCGCCCGGCGCCATCCTCATAGTCTCTGATATGCTTGAGCCCATTGATAACAGTCACTGTGTCAGGTCGTCCTAAGGAAGGTCTTCCTCTCTTTCTCTGACCCCCACCCCCGCACCTCTTCTCAACATGATGTCCTTTTCCAAGGGCCCGCCCCTCCGGACAGCGTACCCAAAGTTTGTCAGATGAAGTTTCACCATCCTTGCCTTGAAGGAGCACCCAGATTGTATGTACTTCCTCCGAGACAGACCTGTTTGGTTTTTTTGGCAGTCTTTGAGATGTCTGTATTGTTTATTATACGCCATTGAGTCAACTGCAGCTCATAATGATTCTGAACAATGGATCTGAACTTGGCCCTGCCCTGTGCCATTGTCACCATCTGATATACTTGAACCCATTGGTTTAGTCACTGTCAGCCCGTCTTGTTGATGACAGACAACATGCCCAAAGTACATGAGGTGAAACTTCACCAACCTTGCCTCCAATGAGCACTTTCTCGAAAACATATTTGTTCTGTGGGATATCCATAGATTTCTATGAAAACAATCACGAGGTCTGAATACCACATGGGAGAGGATTGCCCATTCTTCTCGCTCAGAGCGGCTGGTGGGCTCGAACCGCCAGAGAAGCAAGTCTTTAAGTTAGCAGCCCAACTCTCTATGGGCTATGCCACTCGAGCTCCCTAAGTTATCCAGTGTTGTTGTTGTTATGTGCTGTCGAGTCAACCATGACTCTGCCACCCTGTGAACAACAGCCTGAACCCTGCTCCATCCTGAACCAAACTCCCTGTCTCTGCCATACCAGTCCCCACTGTCACGGGTCACTGTGTCAGTCCATCTCATCTCATCATTCCTTTCCTGCACTGACCTTCCACCCTTAATGGGAATGATGTCCTTCTCTGGGGCTGATCCCTCCTGGTGGCATTTCCAAAGTATGGGAGACAGAGCCTCAAAAATCCTTGTTATGTGTTGTTGAGTTGACCAAGACTCATAGTGACCCTATGCATAATAGCTCTGAACCCTATTCTATCCTGAGCCAATCTCACTGTGTCTGACACACCTACCCTTATTACCCGTTATTGTGTCACTCCATCTCACCCTGGTCTTCCTCTCCTGCACTGTTCCTCGACCCTTTCAAGGATGATATCCTTCTCCAAAGACTTCCTTCATGGCTACATGCCCAAGTATGTGGGATGGAGTCTCAAAATCCTTGCCTCCAGGGAGCAGCTCGGTTTCACCTTCTCCAGGACAGACCTGTAAGTTCTCGTGGCAGTCCATGGTATGTTCAGTACTTCTCTGTAGCACCACAATCCAAAGGCATCAATTCTTGTTCTGTTATCCTTGGTCATTGTCCAGCTCTCTGATGCAGAGCAAGTAATTGCAAAGACCATGGCCTGGATCAGGTGCACCTTAGTCTCTAGTCTGACTGTTCTCCTGAAGTCTGGATAGGTCCCTGACAGCAGATTTTTCCTAATGCAATTTGTCTTTTGATTTCCTTACTGCTTGTGCCAAATGATCCAATAGTGTGTAGCAGGGCTAGAATGTCCCTTCTGAACAGCAGTCTGATCTTGTAACACTCTTGCTGAGGATTTTTATCACCTTGAGATGAAATGGGGGGGAAAAACCAAAACCCCAACAACCCGTGGTATCAGAAGAGAGGATGCTGAAATACCACCCTTCAATAGGTCCATTTAGCAATTAACAAACCCAGGGGAACTCCTGCCCCCTGCCAGGCCCCACTCTTGACGCCTCCCAGAAGTTGTGGGTGATTTTCTGTCATTCTGAAGAGTTTTTAGCTGGCACGGCTATTCCCTGCTTGTGTGGAGTGATGGCAGAGACGCTCTGGTCCAGCCATCTGCTGCTTTTCAGAGTCCACCGGCTACACACCAGGAGTTTTCTGAGAAGGAATGAAAATCCCGGAGCGCAGGATGATGATGGATCACCCACAGTCGTCCTCAGCCTTTGGGGGAACACGCCAGAAACGGCAGCATTGGCTCA